ACATAGATGAACATGATTATTGGCATTTTTCGAATTATTTATGTGTTATGTGAGAATATCAATGAACTATACCATTGAAATATGGAAGCTACGGTAGACAAAATAGGTCAACAAAACCTGATGGCGATGATGATTATTCATTCGAATGATGACTCGCAAAAAGTTGGCTATTTTCGACTAAATAGTTTCATGTCAGTATAATAGATGAATAAAATCTTCAAGGCACCTGGGAAAACGTCATACACGTGATATGTGATCTTCATTTTTCAATAGCAAGCAACAAATCGTTCTTAAGTAATCGAAATCAATGAACAAAACTATTGGATATTGATGATTTATTTTTCATGTGATTGTTGATTGTCTTCATAACTCAAAAACTACGCATCAATATAAATGAAATAGTTGAAGAATATATCGTCAGTTAGAATGATTTCGTTTTCCTGTAATCGTTGAGCAACTGAATGACTCATAATTTTAGATAAAAAGTCGGTTCAATAGATGGATATGATCATCACAAAAATTACAATCAATCATTCGTTGCATGATCTTCTCATTGTGGATATGCTCTTCGTCTTTATTTCGATGTATGCCACATCACTGAACAGAAGTATTGGGCTGACGTGGATAAAGAAATTCCCATCAAGTTATCATAGCATCACCTGTGAACAAAAATAACTCAAACGTTTAATTTCATAGTTCGTGAAATAAGTGCACGAGTTTCTCGTCAACATCATTCAACAATCTTGCGATTATTCATCAACTCATTGATTTGCAACATTTATTTGAATATGAGTGAAAATAAATGAATAAAATCGTTGGTGAATAATGATTCATTTACTATAAGATGTTTGATAAATTATATGGACCGTATGCTTCTGCATGAAATTCCTGACGTAGACAAATGAAATACTAATCATGATTGTTCCTGAATTATACAAACTTCAATCCACATGATTAGTTGGTAATCCTCTTTTCAGAAATGAGAACGTTAAGTGAACATAACATTGATGACAATAATTCATTTGGGATTTAATCCTCGGTGAACTTAACAATTCATGTTAGTTTTTTGAATATAGAGAAAATAGATGAACACAACCATGTTGGCAACAATCCGTGTGCTATGTGTTCATCAAAAAGTAAACCATGCTTCAACTTTGAAAGTGAGATAAAAACATAGATAAATAAAACGATTACAATACGTTTGTTCATTTACATCATAGGATTTTTATCATTCGATAAAATTAAAGTTTAGATTTCTGAGGAATTACTTTAGTAGAACACAACATGCGTTATTTCTATTCATTGCTCCTGCAATATTCAATCCGTCAGCCGATTTTCTATCTATAGTTGAAAGAAAATTGAAATAAGTAAACCGAACCGTTTCACCAAGCGTTATCATTATTCTTTTGTCATGTAACCAATGGCCAGTTTCGATCAATACATATAGTTTGATTTGAAATGAGTAAAATAAGTGAAAATATTTGTCTAGATGATTTATTTAACATGTTATGATAAAATAGTTTAATAGCTTCAATTCTTTGCTTCTTGAGTGAAATTGGCGAACATAACAATAATCATAGTTATTCATTTCCTACGTGATAAAAAATCGTTCTACAAACCGTAACGTACTCTAAGAAGGTTCATAAAAATGATGAAAAATTGTTTGATTCAGAGTATTTGACTATTATGCAATCTCTAAGTTAATGATAAACTCACAAGCATAGCTTTAGCATCTCGAAGAATAATTGATCACAATCTTGCAACGTGTTATTGAAACTTATTTGCCATGCGATCTTCGATCAGCTGATTGAGCTAGAACGTTTACTTCAGAGTGAGCCAAGTAAGTGAACAGAAGTCTTATGAGTAATGTTCGTTTGACATGTGATCCCCTCACCAACTGACCGAGTCTCGACGTTTGCTTCGAAGTAAGGAAAGCAGGTATACAGAAGTCTTATAAGTAATGTTTCTTTGCCATGTGGTCCTCTATCAGCTGATCGCGCCGCAATGTTTGCTTTGAAATGAGGAAAAGAGATGAATAGAAGTCTCTTGATGAATGCCTCTTTGCCATGTGGTCTTCGACCAGCTGATTGACTCTCGACGTTTTCTTCAGAGAAAGCAAAAGAGGTGAACAGAAGTCTGATGAGTAGTGCTCGTTTGCCATGTGATTTTCGATCAACTGATCGAGTTGGAATGTTGGCTTCGAAGTCAGCAAAAGCGATGAGCAGAACTTTTATGAGTAATGTTTCTTTGCCATATCATCATCGATCAGCTGATGAAGTCTCAGTGTTTGCTTTGAAGTCAGCAAAACAGGTGAAGTCATAGGTCATTTGTGCTTATGTGAGAAGCATTGAATAAGGGCGACAGTGGCAGAAGTAACTGAAAAAACAGCGTTCACTTTACATATTGTACTCTTTCTCTGGCTGGAGCGACTGCTCTCGAGGTGACCAAAGGGTGCCGGAAAAGCGGACGTGACCACCGAATATAAATAAACATAGTGCGCGAGTTTGAGTGCGGAAAAACATTTTTGGGACCTTGCTTATTTTTGGTCAGTTTTTTCAACTTTTGTTTTTGGAAATAAAAGGTTGGAAAACTATATCCTAGATGGTTTATTTTGAGAGAAAGTGGCTGAAGACGATGAAATCATTGTTACTAGTAGGACATTGGATGTTGAGGAGCTAAATAATAAAGTTATTCTGTTATGCTTGATTGGTGTTTGAATGCTCAGTAAAAATCATGTATGGATTGAAGAAAGATGAGTAGATTCCATTCTTTTTCCTTCTGTGTCTGAGAAAACTTGTTGTTGAAGCTTGGGATTTAATTGTGCTATATTGTTTTCATGCGAAGCTGACATGTTAATTTATAGTGACTACAAATGATCTTCGAGCGGATCGACGGAAGTAGTCGAAAAGAAAGATGATGAGGAGAAAAAATACAGAGGGCAAAAATAGTGAAAAAGGAACGAGGTAGTTGTGCGAATAAATCAAAGACATAGACCGACTGACGCATCCGGTTTTTTATATGATGGACAGAAGACTTTGTCGTCGTTAATATTACTACCCAGATTTAGAATGTGGGTGTGGATGTCAGTTTGAGCGTGTAGATGTGAGTGAAAAGAATATTAACATCCTTACCCATTCCTACGCTCAAACGCAGCATCTTTGTTTTACTCGCACCCATATCCACACAATCACGTGCTCCCAAGTAATGTGCAATACTCACAAGAGTAGGTTCCTACGTGAGTCTTACTTTTGTTTTGAATGGGAGATGTACGAGTTTGTAGAGTTCGACGAGCTGATTTTCATGGCATATTCTGTTTTTCCCAATAGAACTTCAAATGAGAAGAAAGTGATCAACTTTACTAGTGGATTTCTTCACTTTGGATAAATTTCGAGACAGTTGTTAGAAATTTGGGACCTCAAGGGTACTTAAATTTTAAATGATCACGTTAAAACATAGATAATGCCACATTTGATAGTCTATTGTTATGTTATTTTAAACTAATAGGAAAATAGTATCTTCTTGTAAAACTCGATTCCATCATCGCTATGAACATTAATTGTAGAATTATTACGCTTGGATGTACTTTAACAGTTCTGAGAGAAAACTTCTCTATGTATCCAGAAGTTGAAATTTAACTTGTGTTAAAAATAATATAATAATAGACTATCAAATGTGGCATTGTCTATGTTTTAACATGATCATTTAAGCTTTAAGTACCCTTCAAGTCCCAAATGTCTAACAACTGTTTCGAAATTTATCCAAAGTAAAAAAATCCACTAATAAAAACAATGCCATGAGAACCAGCTCGTCGAACTCTATAAACTGATATATCTCTCATTCAAAAATGAAACTCACAATTGTGAACCTTTTCTCGTTAAATGTGATGCTTTCTTGAAAGAGATATTCGTGAAAATGTCAGTTTTCTATTCGAACTACGTTTTAGCTGTTTTGTTTAGCTATTACAGGAAGAGCAATATTTACATATTCGATCGATATCTATTTTTTATCCTGTCTAGGTAGAATATGTCATACAAAAGGTTAGATATAGACTGTATTTGAGATGCTTTTGCGAAATCAGTATAGTAATAAATAGACAAGTCTGGAGAACATTGAAAAAATCACAAAAGAGAAAATCTACGAAATCCATAATGTTTGTGCAAGTATACTAACATCGAGTGTTCGGATCTTTGTAACAGCAGGCCGAATTTAGACTGAATACCTTCCAATCAAATGATACAAAGTGCAGTTTCTTTAACGACTTCACGACGAGCATTGACAATACCGAGTTAAAATAACATCATATTGATACCAACGTTAGAAAATATCAACAATCGAGAGAATTTGTTAGATAAAGTCTCTTTTCAATTACATGATTTATTGATAAATATACAGTGAGAATTTATTTGTGTAAGACGTAGATAAAGATTTATTTGAATTCAAAATAAGAACCGATAACGAGATAAAATTAATTGAAATATAAACTTCCTACAGTATTTTTTTTCAGGATTTCGAAAACTAATTTTATATATATCAATTGATAATAATCATTTTGAACATGTGCTATAAACAAAATTATATGAAATAAAACTTAAACGAAAAAAAAAGCAACTGAATCGCTCGAATTGTATAAACGATGTTTGTGTAAACTTTTTTGGGGAAACTTTTGGAACGGCTTTGTAGATAGAATATAACAATCTTCGTGTGATTAGCAAGAGCAGATACATCAACTTTCACATTTTAGTCCCGCAGGAATTACGTGAACAGTTTTTTTCAATATACAACACAGCCGATCATTCCGATTGTTCAGTTCTATGTCGTTGAGATCCGTTAATCTGACTTTTATGAAACAATTTGCGTGGGTTAGTGATTCGAAACATATTTGATATTGATTTTACGGAAGAAATTTATTAATTATTCACAATGATGTCATATAAATGTAGAATTCAAAATTAGTTGAATGAACGATATTTATTACATATTAATGTATGTCTACATAAATTTCATAATTTTTCATTTAATTTTCTTTGTTCATATTCAATTTTAATAATGTCATCTGCGAATAATTGTTCTAATTGTTTTAATGTTAACAAATTTTCTATAATATTTTTTGTAACATATTTACATAATCTTATATCAAGTATAGTTAGAAATTTTAACTTTCGACATATACAATGAATTGTATCATCATCGACTTGTGTTTCTTTTAAATAAAGTCGTCGAAGTGTTTTATGAAATGACAGTAATGTATCGGTAAATGTACGTGTTCGTGTTATACGAAAACAACCATTAAGATTAAGTTCAATTAAATTTGGAGATAAATCTGGTAAATAACGTACAGATACTAGTCCAAGACATGATGATTGTTCAAATGATAAAATTTCCAATTGTTCAAGAGAAAAATTTGATGTTGAACCTTTTAATGGAGCTTTAGGAATTTTTAAAAAATCAGATGTACCTTGAATACTTGTCATTAACATTTCACATTTTGTTAAATAAAGACCTTGAAGATTTGTTGGTAAATATGTAATATTTTTACAAGCTGTTGGATCATCTCGAAAATCATATTTTGATATATGTAAATAACGAAGATTTGGATATGATGTACGAATAAAATAACTTAATTGTTCTGTATATGGTGGTAATTTAACAAGATTATTTTTTATTTTTTTTCCATTTGGTGCACCTGATATTTTTAATATTTCCGTACATGGACGAGCAAAACGACGAAAAAATTTAACTAATACTCGATTTGAATAAGATTTTCTTGTTAAATCAACTATTTTCCATAATTTATCATCATTAGCAACACGACGAAATAAATTGCAAACACTAAGAGAAAAAAAATGATATTGCAAAAAACAATCCAAGAGAATATTTGAATTGGTAACCTCAACTTTGATCGAAAGTAGAAATGTCAACAGATACTTTATCAGCTTTTTTATGGACATGCAGGATGTACTATATCTTGACAATAAAAAAATCAATATTTCTGCATTAGTTTAATGAATTAGACTCATTTTTCTCTATCGATTAAAGTCTTTCGAGTTCAAAATTATTGAACTTGCACCCTGTTGAACCACACTTTCATACTTTTTTTAATGTTTTTTTTTGTACTCGTTGACTACATTCTACACATTCGTCAGAAGAGTCGTCTGAGAAATTTGTTGGGTTCAAAGTTCTCGAGTCCGATGGATTCACTACTGACAGAGGACGCTTGAATTTGTTTTTTATTTCATGTTGACATCTGTCAAAACCTGAAAATCTTTGGGTAGACAGTCCACAGGATAGACAAGAGTATTGACTAAGAAAAAGTCCTTTTCTAAAGTACTCTGTTGAGATCATCAAACTTAGCTGAATTCACAATATTTTATAGAGAGAAGAGTTCTACGAACACTGACAAAAGTTACAAAATAGCAATCCTTGCAGAAAATGAGTATATTGAGGACTCAATATCTCAAGAACACCTTGACTAATCAAGCTGGAATTTTTCGTGGATGTGCAAACTGCTAAATTATACATATTAAATAACTTTCACATGGAACGGTTGAGTTCTGGACATTCCAGTGATGTCACTTAAATTACGATTTTAAGCGAAGATGTAGAGTGTGGGTGTTAGAGAAGGTAGGTTTCACACCTACGTACGCACCAGAGATCCGCAAACTGCCGAGTTATATTGTTTCACCGCTCTGTTGAGCAAGGCAAGATTTACGACAATGAGATCGTGTGAGATTTGACTATTCGTTTCATCTCCTTGCGATTCATTTATTCTGTCTTATCAAAACTTACTCGAACACTTTATTCTATTCCAGTAGCGATGGCTAATGTTCAAGGACACTTTAGTGCTTGTTCAACTTCAGACATCCTCAATTAAATCCACAACAAATAAGCAACGCATTGTTTATACGTTCAGTAAGAAAAAAAAATGATAATTATTGATTTGGATCTCATTGTATACTTTTTGCATTTTGAACCTATTTATGTGTCAAATGTGTTTTATTTGATCTTATAAAATAAATAAAGATAGTAGTTGTTACATGTGTGGTTGAAAAATAATGCATAAAAAATATCCGTTTTTATGCTACGCGGTTGGCGAGGCGAGTATTTTAAGAAAAAACCAGACCGGACTGTAACGAAATGGCTTTTCAGCTGCTTCACAAATCTGTGATATCCACACCCATATACGTACAACTATAGATTGACACTCACAAGAACACAATACAACGCTAACCATGTGCTAAAGACATCTTCATGAATATTTTTACTTTTCGACCAAAGTTTAAAGAATTGTTTTAATTTACTAACCCAGCAGCAAGAATAATTTCTTCTGTAGAGAGATATTTAAATAAATGAAGAAGTATTTCATCGGGTAATTGAAATATTAAACCATCTTGTTCAATATATTCTTCTCGAAGTTCTTTCTTTCGTTTTTTACGTGTATGTAAACTCATCTGAAACATAAGAAAAGAAAAATACTTAATCAGAATCCGAATAATCAACAAGAGAATTATTTGTAAATGGTTTATCATTATTAATCACTGTTAAACTTTTTTCTGATGATTCTATTTTATAATCATTCATTGATAGTAGTGGTAAATCAAGTTTTTTATTAAAAAAATCGTCCAAAGTTTCATGTTCTAAAATTTAAAATTAAGTATTCTTTTTTTTTCTTTTTATTCAAGATAAACCTACGATTATTAATTGATTTTTTTGTATAAAAATGAATAGGTTTTTCAACTGGAATTGTTTTTGTAAGAACATTAACATTAGCACCTAGTTCTAATTGAGCTATTTTTCGTCGAAATTTTTTATGTTCATTTTGTAATTCCGATATTTGTTTATACATTGATTCAACTTTTTCATCCGTATAACGAACAGATGTTGTTTGCTAAAGAGAAGATTTAATATGAATACAACATAAGATTTATCATACAGCTAATGTCATATGAATTTCACGTTCAATTATTGGTAACCAACGACGAAGTTCATCGACTGTATGAATTTGAGACTGAATAGAAGAAATAGTTTAATATTTAATTATTATTGGATGTGAGAACTTACTAAATGTGGTCGTTTAACTTTTGCTATATAAAAAAGTAAAAACAATTCAGAAATTTTTGATATTTTTTAAAACTTACGTCGCTTTAATTTTGATAAATATAATCGATTTAACTCATTGTTCTGTTTTTCTTTATTACGGGACATCTTTTCTTTTTTTTACAGAAATATGTGTTTCATCATTTGAGTAATCTTTCTTTCGGCACATGTCCAATGAAAAATTTCTTATGAACCCTTTTGTCTTTGTGAGTGATGGCGCCACTTTTCATTTGAAATATTGTTTTTTTAATTTTCGCAATGTCCTCATCGGGATATCCTCAATCTTTTTATGGTCATATTGAATTTCCAAAGATCGATACGGATAAGAATTATGGACATAGTTGTGAACTCGATGCTTTTTTTCAATATTACTGTGCTCTTGTATCAAGTGAATACAATGATTATATGGCACGATTACCTGTATTTGATCAATGTTAATAAGATGCCAAACTACGAATGAAACAATGAACATTTCAATTGAAACAAAAAAAAATATGGAATCAATTCTTCTTAGTATATTAAATTATTAGATTTGATTTTTATTAAACGTTCAAAGTAGTTGCCATGATTATTTACACAAAACTACATTCTAGACATTTATCGATAGTTTTTTTTGATTGTCCTCTTAGTTGATTGAGTTCATATCTCTACCCTGATTAAAATAATGTTAATGGTCCATTAAGCAAAACGGAATACGAAAAGGTATAATCTACTGGAGATTTTTCATTTCACATATTTTATATTATCCAGGTGGATTGATACGTCCATTTGTATTCTCATTGTGACTTTGTCGTATACGGTTATATATGAGCCATTATCTCATTATGACATAACTGTATCACTGACCGCAAAATTATTGTCAGAATACGATTCGTTTACATAATTGAAAATTAATGGTAAAAGGCTGTATCGTTCAGTCTGAGCAATATAATGAGATGTAAAAAATCATTTGAGTTGTACATCTCAGTTTCAAAGGGACTTTGCTGATACACGTTTCTTCTTATCTATCGAATTCGTGTCAATGTAGGCAAAACGATACAATAAAATATCATTATTAACGACACTATATAGCGAAATAAAACAAAATAATATTCTTTTTCAGCATTTGAAGCTTGTTAGAACTTAATAGTAAAGTCAAATAAGAACTAACATTCATATTAAATTATCAACATGAATCAAAACTTGGTTTAGAAAGATACATTATGTAATTATCATTTGTAAAAACTCTTTTATTAATATTCATAGTTAAAAGCATCAGTTCGTTTAACTCTTCTTTTCTTTTTCTTTTACTTTCATGAAAATCTTGAACAGAGCGAGGATATTATTAAATTATATAATAAACAGAAAAAAACAAAGCAACTAAGATAACTTTCTTTTCGTTTGGTCCTGAGCATTATAGCACAAATAGATATTTTAATTTTCTTAACATGCAATTCGATAAGAATATGAATATAATTTACAGCGTACTGATAATTAAGTTGTTGGAGGTGGTTCACTTTCTTCAGTTTTCGCCGGTTCTTCTTTCTTTTTTGTTTCATGTTGAACAACTACACCACCAAATTTAGCCATTTTACCATTAATTGGACGTTTAGCATGTTCACTATCGAAATACTTTTTTAATTCAGGTAATTCACGAAATGCTTTCATATAAGCAAGTATTTTCGGATATTCAGCCCAATCATCATTTGATAAAAGCCAACAATGATCAAGATATTCAAATAATTGAAAATCAGCTGCTGTTAATGCATCACTTACTAACCATTTTTTTCCTTGTCGTACAAGAAAATCTTCAAATAATTTTAAATGTATTGGTAAAGTTTCTTCACAAAATTTCTTTTTTACAGCTTCAAAATTAATAGCACGATAACAGACATTATTTAATTCTTGTCTTAAATCATTTGATTGATCAATAAGTAATTCAATAATTGATGTTTCAGCTTCATTGTTACCCATTAATTTAAATTTACGACCCAGATGTGTTAAAATTGTTTTTGCTTGTGATAATTTTAAATTACCATCAATTAAATATGGTAAATTGGGAAAATCAAGACCTAAAGAATTTTTTTCTTTGAGCCATTCATCACGTTTAAAATCGGGTGCATCACCAAAATGATATAATTTATTTGTAAATGGCGTTTTTGTATAATGAACTAATAAACGAGATGGTTCAGCAAAGCCTCGAATATCCCAGTAACCAAGAATAAGTTGATCCTTTGATGCCATTCCTTAATACTAGATAGAAAAAAGAAGAGAATATCACACTGTGTTGTTAATATGCTTCTATCTATGGAATATATATGATTTTTTGTTATGAGAATGGAAAAGAATGATGGAATATATATATATATATAGAGTTCGCTGATATTAGTATTCCTATAGAGAAAAGAAAGAAAAAATACTCCGGGTGAGAAGAGACGAATAGAACAATTCTAATTTCTTATCTTTTTTCCTCGTTCCGTACGCCTTCGTATGTACATACCAAAATAGCACCATCCTACCACTAGATGGATTGTTTTTCTTACAGTATGTACAAAATAGACGATCTTGATGCGGCTTACTGTTATATTTACATGAAAGAAAAATATCCAATACAAATAGACAATTAAGTTACATTGGCAAAAGTCTTTATCGTTTTTTTTTTAATTGATGAATCATGATTAATGAAAACTTCAAACAACGGAACTACAACCAACATGCTATGTTTTTTTTTCTGAATAAGTTCAGAATTTTATTATTTATATTTTGATTCAAACCTTTTATAGAAATATAAATACATAATCTGTAACATGCTTCTTTTGAGGAAAACAAGTACCTCAAAAATTGATTCTATTGTAGAATTTTATTATTTTTGTGGTGCTGATCTTGCGAAACGAGATCTATGAGAAGTGTCGAAGCATAGGGATAAAAATGTGGGTCACATCCTCCACCGGCTGTATATTAATAAAGTCTCGTTAAATTACTTTCTTATTGCATTTCTGGAAGATTAAGTAAATGAATAGTGACGAAATGTACCCTAAAATAGACAGAATCAAGCAATCTCCCAGTGATTAGCAACAGCAGCTGCATCGTGTTTTGCATTGTAATCCCACCGGGATTATGCTAACAGCTTTTTTTATTTGTAAGAATCAACTAAAAGAACAAAACTTTCAATACAACAATTTTTAAATTTGAAAACAGATCATTAACTTGAGTCTATATTAAATAATATTACAAAAAAAAAAATAATGGATACCAAAGCAAGAGAACATATAAAATACCAAGACTCAAAAAAAAAAGTATTAATTAAATGATGCTGATATAGATGATTTGGAAAATCATGAGATTATTTCTTCTATTTTGTTTTGCTTTCAACTTTGCTTTATTATCATTTTATAACCAGCGTCTAAATAAAAATAGAAGATAGAAAGTTTTTAAAATAAATGTAATACATACAAATAGAAAATAGAAGTTTAGCAATCGAACCGAATTAATTCATTGGTGTACTTATAAATGATTAACACTTAATATGATCGCTAAAAAGAGAAAGTAATAAAATCAAAATTTTCAAATTGTGAAACCAGAAATTCATTTTCAGTTCCGTTCATTCTCATTAGACATCGTCCGATATGATTTTACTGAACGACTTCATCATAGAAGCTTGTTCGCCCACATTTCTGTCAAGCTAATAAAAATTTATGCCATTTCATTCCTGACCTACGCAAAAACTCATAGCGGAAAAAAATCTGACAGAACGATATGATGGTATGCCTAATTCTTACTCCACAGTTCTCTGGCAGTAATCTGTAGGTGGTGAGTATGCATAAGCATTTTTCAAGGACGTATAACACAAAAGAAATTAAGCATAATTGAATAGTGAGAAGCAATGACCTAATCTATCCAATTTCTACTATTGTTTGTTTTGTAGTCAGGTCACACATAGTAGACTTCTATATCATGCCGGAAAATTACAACCTTCAGACTGGGTTTCTATTCTGTGAGAGATAGAGATGTTAACCCTCGAATACTATTGTCATTTTGCCACACAAAGGATGTTTTGTAGGTTCAGTCGGGCTCACATGTAAATGAATAAGAAGAGCTTGTTTTTTTCCTGTAATATTTATTCATGAAAGTTCAAATGACCTTTTTACATTGTTAGAAAGCTAACGTTTAGAAAAAAGATAAGTATTAATGTAGTAGGCAACAAAAAACGACGTTGTGAATCGAGACGAATCCACGAAAAAAGTTCGAGAGTTAAGTGAAAAGTTGACATTACCTACATAGTGGAGAATTTCTTTTATCGTTGATCTTATTAGTGGTGATTCGACAAGTAGGATCAAACTTGGTCTGCTGTTGATACAGTTTTAGTGATCTGATCACGTGAAATCAATGGAGGTACATATCGAGAAATCAGGAATGTAGTTCGTGATCGATAGAGATATGCAACCATTGTTTTTTTTTATAAACAAATCTATGTATACAAATGGAAGGATAAAAAAGTTTTTTTAGCCTATATCCTCTTTAGATTTTATTAAAGAATAATAAGAAAAAAAAGAGTGAACTATTTCGTTTTGGTTTTCACATGATAGGAAGGAAAATGGATTTGTTCAATGTAATATGGTATTTGCTAATGGATGGACAGTTTTTCGAGGATTTTTTGAATGATGTTTTTCATTTTAATTAGTTTTCTCAAATTGATTAATGTCTATAAACAGAAAAAAACAATTCAGTTAGAGATAAAAAAGAAACTTATAATTATATTTTTTTTAATACTTTTTATTTGTGCTACTTGTTGAACTATGGGATTGATGTGCGGCTTTATTATGAGCTGTTTGGGCACCTGGTAACATACTAGCACTACTACCACCACCAACTCCTAATCGTCCGGTAGCAGATGGACCATCTGTAGCAATAAATTGACCAGAACCAGAAACAATATGATGTCCACCTTTAGCTTCAGATACTTTAACAGGTGTACCAGGTGGAAGATTATGTGCACTCATACGTGATACATAGAGTACGTTCCATGTTGCACGAGGTATGATACGGCAAAGTTGAGACATATTCAGTTTCAATAGAAAATGTGTATCTAAAAATAAAATAAATAATTATTTATTAGAGCATAAAATACAAGTTTAATAATTATTGGTTTTTGATTTACGGATTAGGAAAAAAAAGGAAGATTTTCATTTATAAATATCACAGTTTAAAATTATTACATAATTTATATCTGATTAATAAAAATTAATAAAAATTATTCAAAATATAAATACAAATTATTGAGCAATTGTAGGAAATGCTGTTATACGAAGTCGTGCTGCACCCATAGGTATTAATGTAATCATTTCATCAGATTGTTGACTCTGAACAGGTGATTGTGGTAATAATCCAACAACATTTTGACTATCTGCTTTCCATTCAGGAATACGACGAGCTCGAACTTCAAGATTCAGTGGTACAGTATCTTTTGTAAAAGGATTTTCATTAGTATTTTTCTTTTTTTTTCGTTTAATTAACCATTCATCTGTATTTGTTAAAACTAAACCATAATTCCAATTTGATTCTGATATTACTTCAAATTCTGGCCAATCATCTGTACCACCAATACGATTATACTGTTCACTAATACCTAATGAAAATGTTAAAGGACCATAAGATAATGAAACAGAATTATGATTTGATGTCCAAGTTTTTATTCTTAATGATAATGGTAGTGTTAATGATAAAACATCATCATTTATCCATAGACGATCAATAATAAGATATGAACCATTATTTGGTGTTATTTCATTAAATAGAATATTTCCGTTTAATGAAAGTTTTGGTGCATGTCTACACCAATATGGTATACGTAAATAAAGTTTAAATTGTATTGATGTTGGTAATTGAAAACGAAATTGAATATTTCCATCAAATGGATAATCGGTTTCTTCAATAATTGTTACTTGTATACCATCATTTGGACCAGCTAATGCTGTTACTTGACTTGTTACATATAATGATGCACATAAGCCACCATCATATGTTGCTAACCATGCTTCTTCAGCATAATATGGCCATCCCATACCGTGATTATGTGTACAACAACGATATTGATGAACACCTGGCTTATATGAAAGCATAGGAAAATTATTATCAAATTGTTGTTGACTTTTAACTTGATCATCAAGTTGAATACAATTTGCACAAGTTATATAATGTGTACCACGTGCAACAAATGGATCAAATGCAGCTGGAAGTGTATTTATTGCTAATGTTTCACATCGATCAGACCATATAGAATCACCCGTAATTCGTGTAAGAATATTAAAACTATGCATAAATTCAACAATACCACATGTTTCAATACCTTGTCGAGGATCACCATAACTAATACGACAATTTTCATCACCAGCAAAACCTCCACCTGGAAATTGTCCATATTGATTCATAACAATTTGATAATCATCATAAGTTGCTTGAAAAAAACGTGGATCAAATGGATTAACAACAAGTGAATATAATGCTGGTTCACGAAATCCTTGTGCTATATTTACATTATGCCATGTTGGTAAACCTGTTAGCCAATTAGCTGAATTTAAATGAATTTTTTTAATTAAATCAAGTAACCAATCAGTATCAGTTGTTCGATTATATAACCATATAATAGTATCAATATTATCTGACCATCGTGTATAACTCCAACCACGAGAAAATACATCGGTTGGTTGTTGATTAATAAATTGAAAATATTTTAAAAGAAATGGTATAATACGATCATCATTTGAATATTCATAAAATGAACGAAAAACATTTAATAATGGCATTGCTGGCCATAGATCAGGACCACCTTCAAGTGATGTACGTAAAGCATTTGGACCAAACCATCCATCAGATTGTTGACTACTTAATATTCCATCAATCCAACGATAAGTTAATGTTAAAACATTTTGATCACCAGTTACAAAACCAAGATCAGCAAATCCTCGTAACCAATATGGTAATTCTTCCCAAGCTGATTTGGTTGGATCAACCCAACCACATTGTTCATAAACAAGATAATCAGATATTTCTGAAAGGTGTCCATTTAAACCATCGATTTGTAATCTTAATTGACCAAGTAACCAACCATCTGGTTTAATTGCACCAGGTGGAAGTTTTTGAAATGGAACTGGTTGAAGTGGTGCTCGATTTGGATAATAATGACAAGTTGGTGTATCATTCAATGATGATGATACTTCTACACAACTAACAACTCGAACAGTCATCTGAAAAATAAACAAGAACATTCGAAATAAATGTCTTTTTTCAAATTTAATCACAATCTTTTTTATACATTATTCTGAAAGAAAAATATCAATTGCTTTCTTGATTACACGAAAATACTCATTAAAACATTCTAATATTTGGGATCTGTCTAAAAACCACAAAATTCTTTGTTAGAAAAAAAGAATGAAACAAATACATTTTTTTTAATCGAAATAACCAAATATATCTTTCTTGATATATAAATATATATGTATATATATAAAAGTCAGTTCCATGCTGTGTAAACAACTTTTGTACACCATCACAATAGAAGAAGAAAAAACAAATTGGAAGAAATGATATATCGCTATATAAAAAACACAAAGAAGAAAAGAAAAAACATAACAAATAATTAAATTTTGTTCACAACGAACATTGCACATGAAAATAAAGAAGAAAACCACAGGATTTTAATTTGACTAGTTAGATATATATTATATGTGTATATACATCTCACTGTTAGTAAAAAATAAAGCATAAAAATGAATTATGAAAGAAATAGAATTTGCGGTAGTGCAGTCGATGTTGACGATGATAGACGACTTTCAATAGTATGTAAATGACGATCACGATCAACAACATATAATCGACGGCGATCAAATTTAGGTACACATATTGCAACAATTGCATGTGAATGTAATTGAAAAAAATCAAGTTGACGTAATAATGTTAAATCCCATGTTGACCACATTGATATAATACCATTTTCAAAACCACCTAAAAGAACATTAACACATGTTCCTTCAGGTGCTGATGTAAAACATAAACAATTTAATTGTTCAGAAAATGTTAAACAACCAATTAAATCACAATTACATGTTAAATAAGATAGATGCCATTGACTACCACTAGACGATAAATATGCAATGTCACCGGTTGTTTCAGATGATGTTAAATGATAAATTGTTTGATTATCTTGTTTATATGTTCGAACATAGGATAAACTAAAAATTTGAATTAGTTTCATTTCATTTGTAATGACATTAGATTCTTGTCTGACACAATAAATTTCTATCTTCTTGTTAAATAATACAGATTGAAAAAAGCAAATATTCTCATTTAGGAATGCAGATTAATAATTGTGCTAACGAGAGAGTCACTCAATGTGATACCTTGCATTTGAGATGAGACTCTAGTCCATATGCATAGCTTGTTGAGACTAGAACAAACCTAGAAGGATTCTCCTTCGTGTACTGCCTTTTAGGAGTTATGGTCGTTACACTGGAGTTTTTTTTAATCTTTAACACAGTATTTATGAAAAATCGGGCAAACGAATTTTTGCCTAAAACTTTATCCATAGATAACTTTTGAAGTCATTAGAATCTCTAAACAATTTCAGCTAAAACGAATGTTTCCATGTCGAGATATAAAATCTACAAAGAAATCATGGAAAATTTAGTTTTTTTATCGATTTGATATATTGAGAAGAGACCATTCTGTTTCGCTGAAATTGGCAGGAGGTTTCAATGACTTCAAGAGTTGTCTATAGACAAAACTCTACATTCATATTCGTTTGTTCGATTCGTTTATAAATGTCATACCAAAGGTAAAAAATCCAGTGTAACGTCTATAACACAGAAAGAGTAGCGTATGAGAAAGAATTCTTCTAGTCTCAAGAGACTCTATGTAATGACTAGGATTTTATCACTGTCATATGTCTAAAGAATTGAAATTATGTTTTCGATTATAAATAGAACATTCTCTACATTGTTTCTTTACCGATATTTCTTGTCATAAATTTGAGGAAAAAAAACTACATACCGATTTGTATCCCATAAAGTTAACATCCCATCAGCACTTGCACTAATTAATAAACTAAATTGTCGATTAGCATATAAACAAGTAATTGGTGAACGATGTGCAATAAATGGTAAATAACGTTTAATTAATTCAATACCAGTTGGTGTATTTTTATTTCGTTGAATACGATAAATTTCAATTAAACCGGAAGTTTTTCCCATAAATAATAAACGATAATCAATTGATGTACAACATGTTATCTTATCTTGATCATCAATAGGTACAAGAAAATTATACCAAGTTTTGAATTGTTTCAATTGTCTACAACGTACAATACCATCATGTGTATTCCATTTTAATGCAACCATTGTATCTAATGTCATTGTTGATGAATTTGATTGAGATAAATTATTTTGTTCACCAATTGATTCATTTAATATTTGTTCATTATGTATAATTAATGATGATGATGGTAAACAAATAATATATGGACTTGTATTAAGTACAACAAATGATAATACTTGTACTGGACAATCATGACTTTTAATATAATCTGGTGATGGCATATCATAAGAACCAACATAATCTCCCCAACGTATACCAATTATTAGACGATGAATACTATCATGTGGTAACTTTGATTCAAATACAGTACGTTCACTATTACGTTTATCATTTGCATTTGAATTTGATGTTGAAGATAATGTTGAATTACTTGTATTAATTGATGGATGTGAATGAAAAAATAATTGCTAGAAAAAAAATAGATTCTTATAAAAAAAAAACAAATAAAATATGAATTCTAATTTTACTTTTGGTACTTGACCATATGTACGAATAATTCCATAATAAGCTTTTTGAGTTAATTGATCATTTATATTTTCAATTGGAAAACCATAATAACAAGCAGCATGATATACATTTATTGCATCGAGGGCTGCTTTTCCTATTTTGAAAATGAAACAGTGAAAATTTTTGACAGAACAAAAAAACATCTGAATTTACCTGTTTGTTTATATCCAAATATAAGATCGATCCATTGATGCAAATGTGTAGTTACATAATCAGATTCAAGTGCTTGTCGAAGACCATAGACAAATAAACGAGCATTACGTTTTGACCATGTTGGTGGAGTAACATCAGATACTTGGAGACCCTTAAAATTAAAATTATTGAATAGAAATAAAATTTTAATAATTATTTTATCTTACATTTTGTCGTTTACCAAAATTAAAGCCTTGTTTATTTAATAAAAATTCATGTAGATAATAAAATTCTGGTATTAATTCTTTAAAATCTGATGTCGATTCAAATGATGATAACCAATATGATGTTTTAACATCATGAAATGTTCGATCAGCACAATCAAAATTATTATCTTGATAATCAAGAAACATTCGTGTATAGGGTAAAAGACGTACAAGATAATGAAGAACAATGCCAGAATTAGAATATAATGAAGCAAAATGATATGGATCTGATTGATGACCAAATGCTGATAATTGTTGTTGTTGTTCATTATCTTGTTGATGTGATAGGGCAACAAGTTGTGCATCTTCTAAAGCATTATATATCTCAATAAATTTTTCTTCTTTTTCAGTATGTTGAATTGCTATCGGTTTAGATAGATTACGATAATTTGATGGTAAACGTAAATCAAGTATTGAAGTATCATAATTTGCAACTATATATGGATATATAGGGTATTGCATCAAGTCTATAATGATAAAAAAAAAGAATTTCATGCTGTATTGGAAAGGAAAAAAGGGTATTAGTATCGGTATGAGTGAGAATTTTTTATGTACTTAACTCTGAGCCTCAAAGAAGATCTTGATGAGGCTAACAAAGCCCTAAAAGAGTTCATCCCTATGGGCCTTTGAAACTGAGTCATGACCAATTTATCAGATTTTCGACTTATCTGTAGGTAGTGCCTGGAAAATCAACTCATGGAGTTGTGTTCTCAAATTTTACCCATAGATAGGCCTAATTACCTTTGGAATATCACAATAAGTTCAGCCGAAAAGAATGTTATTTCGTCAACATATAGAATTTTTAAAAATAGCCATTTGTTACAGGCATGTCAAAGAAATCGAGCACACTTGAAATTTCAATAACTCGACCAAGAGATATTATTTATTCCAGCTGAAATTTTCAGAACATTCTTCGAGTCATTAGGTTTATCTATATGCAAAATTTTAGATAAAAACTCCACAGTATTGATTTTTCAAGAACTACCTAAATAAATAAAGACCTGCATTGGAGTCATTTTTAAGAGTAGTTAAAACTCTGTAAATTGTCTACAAGTAAAGTAGGTTGAACATTACAGGTTTTTTCGAATGGTGCGCATTATTGTACAAACTGATCCATTGTGAAAGCTCGAGTCACGTTTCCTTAAGATTTTACAAAGGTAAGAAAATATTAGTTCCTGTAAGTTCAAGATAAGCTCAAACGGTAGATATCAGTTGGAGTACTTTTCTCGTAAGACTACTCGCTATCAAAATCTCCGATACGTCATTAAATCAAATTTGAAACATAGCAAGAAATATGATCGATAACAGATAAGTGTCTGAATAGGTTTTTAGATTGTCTATACATATGGCCTTTACTGTTATGATTATATAAATATTTACCTAAAAATGTTCGTCCAGCTAATTTATTTAATTGCATTAAATAATCAAAATTAGTCATTTGACCTTGTTTCCATAATGTTTGTATTTCATTAACTGTTTCACTATGTTTATAATGTACTAAATTACGTTTAGTTAACAAACGATAAAGATTTTCTCTATCATTAATCGAAACATGTGCAATCATTAATGTAATACCATGAATAAAAAATAATTCAAGTGCAATATCTTTTAACATATAACGTCTTTTATACATTTCACATATATCATCGATAGCAAATGAAAATGAATTTGAATCATCATTAAATGAATGATAATTATAACCAACAGCTGACATAGCTGAATTAATGCTTTTTGTTTTTGTCAATGCTGATAATTGTTCATCAGCAACAAAATAAATTCGTGTTGTACCAACAAGTAATTCACCTTTGATTTCATTATTTGGTGTTACATTCATACAACGACATTGATACTCTATTTTTTCATTACGATAAAGAACTGTTTGCATATTAACAGATTGATAATGACGTGTATCAAATAAATATGCTAATGGAGGATTAACAAGTATTTCATCAGGTATGTAAGGTTGAAAAAAACGTTTTTCCATTAAACAATATGAACGTTGTAAACGACGACGTTCACGTTGAGGATTTTCTGTTGGATCAAGTTCCCAAAATTTCGGATATGATAATGGTTCAAACCAAACACCATATTCATGTGTTAATTGAGATATTAATTGATGCCATAAATGTTTTATACGTAGACCAAGACTTTGTGTTAAACGAAGATGTTCAAGATATTTTTTACGTTCAAAACCTTGAAGATTTATTACATCTTGTGTTATTTCCATAGCACGTGCTGTTATTGTTGATATGGTTACATTTGTAAATGTTTGTAATAAACTTTTTTGTGCTGATATTGAACGGTTTTGTATTGTATCAATTGTTTGATGAAGAGTTTTTGTATATTCAAGACGTTTTTCTTCAACAATTGATGACCAACTAACCAATACAGGTGATGGAGATGGAGTATGTGATGAACGACGATGTGCACGATCGGGTGAAATCGATTTATTGATACGATTTGGTAATTGAGTGCCATTTGAAGATATAGATGCTGACCAATCAAATGAACGACGATGAAGTGTTGTTCGAGAACTATGACGAAGTATCGGAGAAGCTAAATGAAAGTTATACGTTTATATAGATATTCGAAAACTTGATAGAAAGTTAATAAAAATATTTCTTATTCGCAAGAAAAAATGACAGAAACATTACAGTTGTTTCGAAAAATGATAATTTCATAAGACTGAAATCTATTTAGAAGTATTCAATGCTCATTTTTGAATTATAATCGTTCTTTCAAGATCAATCCATATAGTAATATGGTTATGAAAAGTTTGGATTACGAAATTTTGCTTATTAATAGGTTTCATAGTTTTACACTATCTATGGAGTTTCAGGTAAAATGGACATTTGTCAACATGTTGAGTGCAGGAACTGAGTTGTCCGAATAATTTTAGTCTTGCTTTGAGAACGGCATTTTAGTAACAAACCCAGGATTTTCTCTATTCCGACCTGCTTTTCTCTTCCGTAGAGGTGATTTAAAACTTCGCGAGGGAAAACATCTATTTTTGGAAGAATAAGCACGTAATAGAGATATGCAGGGCAAACTTTTTTTCATAATGTGTTGTGAATTTCTACTAGAATTTAAATCTTACGTGTTAATTCTGATGGTGTAAGTAAATATTCGGTAAGTGCTCGTCGTTGTGCTGCATTATTGTCATTTGCTGTTAATGATTGAATATTAATTGTACGCATAAGATCTCGAAATGTATTAATAATATTTTGATAATTACTAATCGATAATTGTTGTAATGGTGTGAATTCACTACCAACTGAAGAAATTGAAAGTGACGATGATCGATCAAAACTTTTTCCTCTTTCAATATCTTGTTCATCACTTGTTGATGTTGAACTAGAAAGTTGACCAACACCATGTTCTTCATCGCTTGTTGATATTGGTGCATTATTAATTTTAATTTTTATAGGACGTTTTGTTTGTTTAGTTAAATTTAATTTAGTTGATATATTTATTGTATGAGATGATGAATCTTCTCCATTTGATAATGTTTGACTTCTATGCATAACTGTTGCTAATGTTGAATGTCCTGAATCAAATGATTTTCTTGATTGTTCATATGAATTTTGATATTGATTATTAATTTGTTCAAATTCAAAATCATTTAGTGTTGTGTTTGAAAGTATTTTTAAATAAATAAGTATTTGATGATATAAATAACAATGTGTATCATTAATTAGAAGATATTCCATGATTGCTTTTGAATTTGGTTGTTCAATAATATGTTTTAATATTTGTATACGAAAAATAAAACGTTGTTTATCTGGATCAAGTGAAATAGTTAGTAATTTTTGTCCTATTTGTTTAATAATATCACCGCAACGAAACATAATTAATGACATTTGATGACGAGAATTTAAATTATTAGAATTTGAACGTTTTTCAATAACATATGCAATACCAAGTAAACATATATCTAATAAATGTAATGTAAATATTTCAAATAATGAACATTCATTATGAAATAAATAAATATAATCAAGTGATAATTGTAAAAATTTACGAAATCTATCAGAATGTTCAATTGTTTTTAAATTAAAATTATTATCATCAAGCTTATTTCGTTGAAATCTTGATTGATATGATGTTATATTATTTGATGGTGGTTTTTCAATTGAATCAATTATTGAATTAAGCATATTAGATAATGTTTGATGAAATATACGTCGATGGATTTTCGAACAATCTAAATTAAAATTTTAATTTATTACAAAGTCCGTGTGTTCGAGTGGTCTAAGAAGCACGCTTCAGGTAAACTAATTAATAGAACTGAATATGCGTGTCTCAGAAATGAGGCGAGAGTTCGAATCTCTCCACGGACATGGTTTTCTTTTTAGATTTATTCCGAAAAATAAAAACAAAACAATTCCTATTCAGTATTAAAACTTACCTTTATCATCTATATCATCATTCATCATTATCATTCCAATAATATTATTAATAATTGATATAAATGATATATCATCATTAATACTTGTTGTAAACATAGTTATTATTAAGGAATTAAAACACTTTTGTACACATGTTATTATTTTATCTTGTGAATTCGATATAGATGATGAAAGTGTATTAAAAAGTACTTGTGTTAAACCAATATCAACAAGAAAATGTCGATTTTCATCATTTGATCGTAATATAATTTGATCAACTAATTTAAGAATTAATTCACATAAATAAGTATTTGTCATACTTAATTTTTCAATAAGTGAAAGTACTAAAGCAAAACCAACTTGAGATCGTGGACATGGTGGTGAAGAGGAAACAATAGAAAAATATTGTTCAGCATCATGAATTTGTTCCGATAAGCTATAAAAAATAAATTATTTATTAAAATAAATAGTACTTCAACTTATAGAAAAAGTTTTTCTTAGAGAAGATCATATGATAAATCTCAAATATAATCGCATTCTCTACACAATCTTTAGATAAAACATCTTAGCCAAATCAAATGTATTTATTAAGTTTGAATCTAAAAATTTCAGTAAGATAAATCCTAACTTTAATAAATGATACGGCGAGCTCTAGAACAAATATTTGAAACTACTGCTCGGTTAAATACATGTGTTTTTTCGAACTAATTTGAATATTAATTAATATCTTATTTCTTATTCATATCTATATGTATTGTTAACATATTGAATTTTTATTCTCATACTTTAATTTAGTATCAAATTGAATAGGACGTTGTAATGCAATAGAAACACAGATTTCTACAAGTTCTTTTTCATCATCACGTCCATCTAATTGATGATATATTTGATTAGCTAACATCGTATGTAAATCAGCTCTTAATACATCATTTTGTACTTGATCTTTATCCATACGTTTTAAAATAATATCAAGTAATTTTATACATTGAACACGTTTAGCCATTGATGCATCAAGTAAAAGAACAATTAAAATATTTAAACGAAATACATGATCAATTAATTTCATCATTAAACGATCCGATGTTGTTAAAGCTATATTTGTTAATAATCGTAAAATACCAGTCGAAAGATAATCAATATTATGTGCACATTCTTTATTTCCTAATATATTTGATTTAATATTAAAAGTTATTGATGGAGATTTGGATGTTGTCGGTGCACCTGATACAGTTTTATGATGTACACGATGATTATTATATGTATCACTCTCATTTCCAATTGACGCTGTTGAAGATAATAAATCTGAAAATGAGTATGATTTTCGAACATTTGAATTTTCTTTCTTATTAATAAGATTTAATTTCGATTGTTCTTCATTATGAACTGTTGTTGAACGTTGTCGATTGAAAATTTTTGAATTATCTTTTCTATAATTTTCTTTAATTATATTTTCGTTTTGATATTTTTTTCGTGTTTGATAATAATTAAATGGTCTTGAAATAAAATAAAAATGTTCTTTATTATATGTAACATATGTTTTAATTAATGGATGTATAAGTAAAACAAAATTCATTAATAATGCAATAATATTAATATCATTTTCAACTAAAGCTTCAATTATATTTACTAATAGTTTGGTTAATTTTTTATCAATAACTATTTGTTGCTGTTCTTCAATGATTTCTTGACATAATATTAGTAAATGTTCAAGTGTAAAATTAGTTTTAAATAATTGTCGATTAACATAAAAATATTTTGAATTAATTTGATCAGATAATAAATCATTAAATGATTTTAATATAAGATGAAATAGTTTTGAATGATTATACCAAATTTTCCAATCAAGTAAAATAAAACGAAATAAATTTATATCATATAAACGTTGTTGATTTAATATAATACATTTATCAATTAATACTTCATAAAACATTTTTGATATATGACGTGTACATTCGTTTGTTGTTAATATTTTAACAATTAAACGATAACCATCAAGTGAATTAAATAAATCATAATAAGATTTTATTTTCCATATTGATGTAAATATAATATCACTTATATGACAAATACATGATGATGATGGATATGTATTTATTTCAATAATTTTTCCAAATAAATAAATAAAATTTAATATTCCACCTAATTGTTCACATACATTAAGAATATTACTTGATTGTTCGAGAGAAATTTTTGATGGTAAAGAAATCGTTGTTGTTGTTGTTGTTAATAAATTATCATCATTTGTTGTTATTGATGATGTTGATGATGACGATGTTGATGATCGAAATGGTAAAATTTTATTAAAACGACTTGGTACAATATCTTCATTTGTATCAATATTTGTATTAAATATATATAACGTCCAAGGATTATTTGATGAATATGAAGCAAAAAGTGATCGTTTTAATACTGTATGCCATGAATTTTGTTCGATTTCAAATTGATCAATTGACATTGATGGATGAACACGAGTAAATCTTTGATATATCCAATAGTTAACAAGTGATTGCTGTTGTTGACCACCTGTTAAAAAATGCCAATGATCTGAACCCAAACTAAATAAATATGTTGGAATACAATCATTACTAACTGTACTCATTAAATCAACTTTATCAAAAAGAAGAATGCTTCCAAGATCATAATAGAATGCTGTACATGTATCTACAGATTGTTGTCCAAGAGAGATTGACCATGGTTTTGTTGAATTTGAAGAATACAATTGAGGTATAGAATGATTTTTAGTTAGAGACGTTTGGCCATTAAGACATGCACGAACTGTATTGGTTGCTTTTGATATTGTGAGAAATACATGAGACCAAGATTCACGTGATAGATTAAATAGACGAAGATTGAAATCACTGAGTTCTAAAGCAACCAAATTAAATTAAATTATGAAACATAATAAGACGAATTTTATTATAAATAACTAAGTTTTAGTATCAAATTTTCTACTTAATCAATGTCCTATTTAAAAAAGAGGATATGATGAGTATTAAGAATCAAAATATTCTTACTCTTAATCGATCAATTAGTATGATATGTGCAAACCAAGTTGTAAACTCTATATTTCAAATAATACTATTCATTGGAAAGCATGAATATCTAGTTTTCAAAAAAAAGCCATAGTATTAGCGTATGAAGCCTATGCATCATGAATGAATTTTAAGAAAGTAGAATTTCAAAAAAGCATAAACGAATATAATCTATGATAGTGTCTTAAAATGAATCGAATGCTAGAAATCAAGAAACTCAACATTGCTGAACAAACAAATATGTTGCGCATTATTATGTCTAATCAGCGCGATTGATGCCTATGTCTTATTGATGGATACCGTAAAACCTGGGAACAGCTACGAACACGCGTATTTGTGTCTACAAAAAAAAACTAGATATCAATTGAAAATAAAAAGCGCAGGATAGAGCTGGTATTCGTATGATATTGATTTCAAACTGTATCTGTTTTTTGTAACTTTGTCGGTGTCCACAGTTCTTAGAGGGATCTGCTGCTGATCGATCGGAACTCGAGAAAGATTTTGTTAATTGCTTTAAAAAAGACTATTATCTTAAAATGACTCACGTTGATGATTCGATGTTGATGATAATTGTACAATTTTTAAACAAATGTTAGATTTTGAATCTAACCAAAATTGTAATTGAATACCTTCATGATGTAAGGTAAGAATATGTAACATGGATCGATAATCTTTTTTCGTTGATTCTTCATTTTCATCTTGATTATCATCATTTGTTTCATGTTTATCAAATGGATAATTAACTCTTAACCATATAGCAATTGTTAATGGAAAATGAAATTGAACTGTTTTTAATGTTTCAGTAACAATGGCTGTTTGACGAACATTATTATTGCTTACGAATGAATTTATTTGATTATTTTCTATTTGAGGATATTTTAATGAAAATAATTGTTCAAGTGTTAAACGTAAATTATTTCCACCTTTTGATGTAACTATGGATGATAATGGCATGGAACAAAATGAACGTGGTTGATTTGGATCAATTTGATGTACAAGATGTTTAAATAAACGAAGTAATGGTCCAACTAATGATCGATGAATTAATATAAGTTTAAAACATTCATCAAGTTGATTAACTGTTATTGATTGTGACCATAAAAATTGTAAAAGTGTTATTATTAATGATATTAAAGCATCTTTTTGTATAAATGCTGCACGAGGAACAATTTTTGTTAGACAAGTAAAAAGATAACCATCAATATTTAATTTTTTTAATACAATACAATTATAAGTATTTGCACGAACTAATGATGATAATAGTTCTAAGTAGGTGACAAAATTTGTTACCTTAAAATATCAAAAAAAAAAAAAGAAAAGAAATGCTATGGATTTTATTCGACATTGGAAATTGAAACTATTAAAGTTGAAGAAACTATGAAAGTATATTCTAACTTATGGGGATAAAATATTCACTCATTTTTCGGTCACTTAAATTCAACTAGTTAGAGCTAGAATCAGACTTTTCACTCTTTTTTGAAAGTATATAGAATTTTCTCTTAGGATAAGATTGAGCAACTATCATCAGATTGTTTCAAAGGACCGAAATAGCTTTTTTTTCAGAATAGTATTTTCTATTTCGATTGAAATCTATCAAATTCAAAATGCGAAGCAGTTTTTAATGATGTACCAGGGAACCTTTCCAGATGTAAAATTGTTCTTCGGCCGAGACGATGTTCATTTGATGAATGCTAGCGAGTAATAGAAAAGCCTAGAATGGTTTGATTTTACGAATTTTCGTTCTTGAGATATCGTAATTTTGGTGGATTTTTTATCGAAAAGTTGTAGTTCCCTCATCAGGTCAAATGAAAAACCGAATTTTGATTTCAAACTATATTCGAACAAAGTCATTAATGAGATTAGTTCATTGGACAAGTTGTAACATTTCTATTATCTCCTATCTTGAGATATCCGAAATTTTCTCGTATGTAAAAGAAAATTTTGTTCATAGATTTACATCTTTGGAAAGTTAATACTCGAAGCACTAAAACTTGCACAAACAACTAATCTGATAGTGATGTTTGTTTGTGCAACGTTAGAGGTCAAAAGTCAATTTTCTACGTCAGCTGAACAAGTTATAGCTTTTTGTCGAAAAACCCAGCAAAATTTTGATATCTCAAGAACGAAAGTCTGGAGAATTAGATCATTCTAGAATTTTCTATTAGTCACTAGCACTTCAAATGAGTACTGTCTCGGTCGAAGAGCGACTTGACATCAGAAAAGATTCTTTCGTCAAGTATCTCGAGCAAACGTTCCTCTACAAAGAATACTAATGACATTTTCATGACAGATTTTTTACAACTTTTGTATTGTTAAAAGCTGTTTTTGAAACAGCGACTTGTCGACTAATACCGATTTTTATAGACACTAACTCTTAGTGAAAATGCATAGATGAGATTTCACTTATTGTAATATCTCATTTTGTATAGAATTCAGTAACGTTGAGTTGCAGTTGTTACAATACACAAACTATAGACTGCATCAAAATCACTAATTTGCTTTGTATAAACATAATTTTGAACTTTCTCACAAGATTTACAGACAATGATTCAATCTTACCCCAGATGGAAAACCTGAACATATATTCGAACGTAGTGGCAAATGCTGATTCTATCTCTAACAGGTTATCTTTTCGTAGTCTAAGAAAACTCAGCGAATAGTTCGTATCAAGACTTTCGCTCTACAGCTTATATAGAATGAGTCACAGTCTCGCAACCGAAATTCGTTGGGTCGAAAATTTTTCAACAATGATCCAGTTGATTAAAATTTCTCGAAATCGAACTTGAACCGTAAACCTCATTTGAACAACATGCTTTTACTCTGAACTGTCAAGTCGCTTCAAAGATGTTAAATGTTTTTTATCGATTATTTGTATTCTGGTCATTACACACACCCCACACAATTCTCAAACAATCTTGATGATTATCTTATTATAATCAAATTAAAATTGACTTTAGGTTTAAAGATTTAACTTACATAAATAGATGTTTTATTTGTAGTTTGTTGATCACTCCATTCATTATCAACATTTTGCCAAGCAATTTTTAATCCAAGAATAACTAATTCGGGGAAAAGAATTAAATTTGAATACATTGTTTGATTTTGTTTTGCAACTTTTTCTATTGGTATATTATCACTAAATGATTCTATATCACCATAATAAACTTCATCTTCATCAATATTTTCAAGATTTTCTACATCAACATTTGTTATAGATAGTATTGATTTTGTTGAACTTTCATCATCAGTTTCATTTAATGATTGATTTTTATAATTAATTGAACTTTTCCATCTTGTTCGTTTATCTTGATATTGTTGAGATAATGATAAACGTACAAGTAATTCAAACCATGATCGATTATAACGATTTTTTTCACTGAATAATGTTATTTGTTCAAGTATTAATTTATAATTAAAATTATCATTATTTGGTTTTGTATAATATGATATTGATACAAGTATACTTGCAATTATTGATGATTGAATTGTTAATTTATTATTTAACATTAATTGAAAACGTTCATATAAACTTAAATAACAAAAATTAGCATAGAATATTTGTCGAAATACTGAATATTTTTGTAAAAGTATGATAAGTATATGACATAAATTATCAATACTATCATTGGGTAATGACCATGAATTTATTAATTTAATTATTAAATGAAGAAATGATTCAGATATATTTAAATTTAAACAATTTGATGTTGATGTAAGTAAACAACCTAAAGCAGGTAATGTATGAATAAGAAGTGATGGTAATAATGAAGATAAAGTTATTAATGTGTCTGATAATGATAATAATGGTACATCAATAATAATATCAAATAAAAGATTTGGAAGTGTTTGTATAAGATATTCAACTATTTCAATATTTATTGAATTTTGTATTGATATATTTGTACGATAAAATTCTAATACTGGAATTATACAACATTTTAAAGCTAATTGTTTATCGTTTGTTGAACAACATTGTATAAGATCTGGAAATGATCGACTTAATGTAAGTGAATAACGTGACGAACGTTGAAATAAATGATTTGATAAATATGACCAAAATAATGTATTATCTGGTATTTGTGTATCATGATGATGATGTTGATGATTACGTTGAAAACAATTTGAAATAAGAAGAAATGCTTGACGAAATAATTTAATAGATTGCTGTTCAAGACATGTAAGGATTTCTTCATCAGTTTTAAGATGATTCAATTTAGATAAAAATATACGATAATGAGAAAGAGAATAACATGAGCATGAACCAATAGATGTTAAATAGAATAGACAATCCTAAATTAAATTAAAATAAGTATTGAAATGAAAATTGAAAAGAGAATATTCAATGGAGATTGATGTTTTTTTTTTATTCTTTGTTCTTATGTTTTCGTTGTGCATGAATGAAATGGCAGTAGATGTTTTTTTGAATGTTTGCATAGGAAATAAAATCTTCAAGTCTCACCAACTGACCTTTTTTCTCAGATTATAGATATTGCTGTGAAAGTTTTTTTTTTATTTATGAGGTCAAGCTTTATGACCATCTTGCATTGAATCTATAAGAGTTCAGACTTTTTTTTATCTTCCTAAGATTTGTAAAAATTATTAAGCAACGATCCTTTCTGAATAGCTTCGATTGAGCACTAAAATTATCTTTATTTTTCAATATCGTTTGATAAATATGTGTTGTGACGTGCTATTTTAAATAAAGAAGTATTAGCGCATCAAATATAGCTTTCATAAGAGACATGATTTTGTCCTAGTGTTTCAAAATCATCACTAATAAGTGGGAAAACATGAACTTTATGATCATTGGACTTAATATATTAGCCATATTATGTTAAATTAAGTATTAATTAAACGATACTGAAGGATTAAGAAGATTAACAGGTCATAAAAGCACAAGAAATTGAATCTATTCAGCAATAAAGGCATTTCAGATTGATATATAGACATGGGAAACAAAAATAAAAAACGATTGAAACCTTCATAGATGGTAATGAAATTTGTTTTTATCTCATAACAATAAACTTGAACTCACTTGAATGAAAGAAAATAATGGTTGACTAGATTCTAATTGTTTAATAGCTAATCTTAATAATTTATCATAAATAGCACTAATAACACAAATGCGTTTCATTTGATTATTATCATCATTATCATTTTTAATTTCAATATTACCATCGAAATTAGTCTTATTATTAATTATTAATTCAAATGAATTTTGATGATGATGTAATATATATGCTTGTTCATAACTATTTTCCCAATATGTTTGTATAATATGACAACTTTGTTTACGTTGTAATTTTTCGGAACGATAAATTTTTAAACGTTTTAATATAATTGAACAATGTTCAAGTAATTCTTTTGCATTTGGTTCATTTTGTTTATCTGTACTTAATAAACTAAACAATGAAAAATAATCACTTATTAAAAATTGATTGATTAAATTTAATAAATCATTTATTGTTCGTCGTTCAATAGAATTTGTTTGTGTTATATTACAAAGTGTACTTTCAATTAGTAAAGCAAAACCTTGTAAAATATCAAATCCTAATTGAATAAGAAATGGTGATATTGCTGCTGGTGACGATAAATAATTGTAAATAACTGTTATTAATGAACCAATTGGATTCGATGTAAAATTATTCGTAAATGTTGATGGTTGAAATGAAATAATTTGTCGAAATATAAGAAAAAGTGAACGAATTTTTTTCTGATAAAACCAAAGAATTTTATATTCAGTTGTTAATTGTGGTAGTGAAAGATGAACAAATGTTTGAGCAATTTCAATATGAACATTATTTATTTCAGGTATAGATACATTTAATGCACGACTATCATGGTTAGAAGGAAAATGAAAAAGACGAACGATTGTATCAAAAATACAATCTAATGTTTCAAATATATTTGATGCTTTTGCTTTAGAATGATCAATTTGTTCTTGCTTAAAATGTGCACTTATCACTGAAATATTATATAAGGCTGAAAAATTAATACAATATATTTTTTTGAATCATAAATAATATCGATAATACCTTGTTCAGCATCATCATTAGATATATGTGAATAACAAATTGGAATTAATTTAATAAGGAAAAGACCAAAATCACGACATTGTATTGGATTAAATGTTGTCTATCAAAAATAAAACATAAATAGATAATTATTTGAAAAATAATCATTATATATATTTACATGAATTTCAGTATTGAGTAATTGTTTAAGTGAAGTTGGTCCATTATTACTTAAATAGTCTATTAAATCGGATTCGTTGTCTGTCATACATATTCTTTGAACATTTTTGTAAAACGATTGAATCAATTGTGACATTATTATTAATCAAGGTAAATAATAACAATTGATATGCAAAAGAAATCGGCATATCTAAGACAAAAGCAAAAGAATGAGTATTTCTATTTTTTAAAACCATAATTATTAGATTTTAATAACGAAGAAACCGTCTTTTATGGAATACTAGAAGCTTTTCATACCCTTTTAGATGGGGAAGTTGTGTACGACACCCTTAAACTAAATAAAGAAAGTAAAAAAAAATGTCGTCACGATAGTCAAGTAAAATCCTATTGGTTGATTAACACCGTTTGATTGTTTTTTAAAACAAATCTTTTTTGAAAATCATAGAATAGGAATGAAATATATTCAATTATAATGTTTTTTTTAAAGAATAAAGAAATTTGTATCCAGAAATTAAATAAACAAAATTTGTTTACATTGATACTAGCGACAAATGTATGTTCAGAGGTTGTTTCGAGCGAAATCTTACGAAAATTTAATTGTTTTAAAATGAGCATATATTTATTTTAGAATGGTTCATATTTAACTATTAAAAAGCTAAAGAACTGGAATCAATAGTATCACTTTATGTTTGAAAACTTACATTTTTTCCTAGCGTAATAGATAATGTTTTTTTTTAATATTCTACGCTTTTTATAAAGACTGACAAAGGTACCCCTCTCATCATCAATTTATATTATCTCGAGACACTTCAAATGAATAGAGTGTGAGTGACTTAAAGAAGAATCTCGAATAGTTGTTGCTTTTTCTTAATACATTAGATAACATCTCAAATCAGTGTACAAATTTTATTAAATGTATGTCGTCATTTGTAAAAACTCAAACCTCATTCTCAAATTCTTTTCAAAAGTTAGTAAACACAGTTAATATTACTAATCTAAAAATTTTTGACAACAACCCAACAAGATAAAACATTCATTTGAAATTATTATTTATTTTCGCTTATGAAAAAATTTTTCTGCTGTTGTAAAATCATGTGATCTTTTTGCTGTTCAAATAATATTTAGAATATAAATACATAAACCACTCTCCAAAATATAGTAGATCCCTCTAGAGCGAGCAGTGTAAAAATACTTATTAGAAGCTCCAGGGCTTCTATTATATTCGGATAATGTCAGCTTTTCGAGCAACACTTCGCAGATACTATTAAATTAGTTTTGACTAAGTGATGTCAAATATTCATGATTAAGAATGATCTCTAGAAATCATGTTCATTTTTCGTTGACATCTGAGAACCTGATCACTATGTACTTTGTAACCATCACTTTGTTTGAAAATAAATATTTGAATATCATGAGATATGAACAAATTCATATTTTTTCTGTTCTATAACACCCACATCCAATTCGTGTTAGTAGCTTCCATAAAATTTTTAAAACACTTCGACATTTTAGAAGTCCTCTTACTGAATACAATGCAAATTATACGAAATCAACTTATAGAATTACTCAAACTGATAAATGACTCATTTTTGTGTAATTTTAATCATCATTATAAAAATTTCAATTTTTATTCTTCATCGAATGAATATTAAATTGTATAGCTAAATAATCTTTTCAATTCGAACTACTGAGTTTACCGATTATGAATCACTGAATAAACTAAATTTTTTTGGCAACGTATAAATATGACTGAATGCCACAATTGAATACAAGTGTTACTAGCATATTCTGTAATTATTTGGAAAAGCTTTTTATCGTTTACACAATGGCTGCTTCAAGCAGAAGACGTTGAACTGATGAGTAGTCAAAACATCCTCGATGACAACGCATGTTTTGCACATTCCATAATGTTCGATGTGATACACTATCTATTCATCCGAACTGCAATATATTTCAATGTATTGTTGATTGCTTTTAAGACGATCATACAAAAATGATCTACTGATGTTTTCTTGACATAGGATTGTAAAAATAAAAACCATATTTAAACATTTCTTATAAAAAATTTCGATTTTTGCAAAAAAAGGCCGAAAGTCAAAGGGTTAATGCCTAATTGAATAAAAGCAATAACCTAACACTTTTGATATTCAAGGATTGGCAGAGTTCAATTATAGGGAGACATAAGCGAGATCAATCGTTTTTTGTATCAGTCTCTGATTCACCAGGACTGGAACCATCTTGCCTATATTTAGTTATAGAGTGAAAAGCTTGATGATTGTGTATATGTCGTATCGAAGTTACACCGGTCGACGAAGTTATAACTTCGTCAACATTCTTGACGAAATTATAACTTCGAGAGAGAAACTTGACGAATTTATTTTGAATTCACTTATCAATAAATAATCTATTGAACTGTGTATTCTACTGTTGAATATATGATCAAGAAATAAAATTTTTACTAATAAATGTTCATTTATTCCACAATATTGTTACAAAAATTAATATTTATTAGTAAAAATTTTATTTTTTGATCATATATTCAACAGTAGAATACTCAGGTCAATAAATTATTTATTGATAAGTGAATTCAAAATAACTTCGACAAGTTTCTCTGTCGAAGTTGTAACTTCGATGAATATGAGCGTCGAAGTTATAACTTCGTCACGTTTATACNAAGGCGCGTGGTGTTGTTATTCTTTTAATTTGTGCAAAGTAACTAAAGGAGAATTAAACATATTTCAAATTTTTTTCTCTTGTGTTTTCATTCTTCATTCCATTTTTTTTTTATTTGATCAGTGCACAACGATTCCTTTTTCGTTTGTGTTGCTCGCTTATTCCATTACTTATTGTAGATGTCTTAAAAAAACAACATACGAAAATTCGACCAAGAAAATAAAAAAATGGCTAAATTTCTTTCACGATTATTCGGTGGTAGTAGTTCATCAAAACGTTCATCATTGCGTGGCTCACATACATCAGTCAATGAAGGTAGTCAACGAACTGGCACATCCTCGAATATGCGTGCTGCTGCATCACTTGAAAGTCTTGCATCATATCATATTAATCCAAAAGAACTCGAAAAAAGTAAATTACACAAAGCATCATGGGAAGGAGACTTGCATAAAGTAGAACGTCTTGCTCGGCCAGATCAAATTGACCTGAAAGATCAACAAGCTCGAGTAAATTGAATTCCTTCTTTTTTTTCTTCAAATATCGTACGAGTTATTATTTTTGCTGTTTTTTTTTCTATATAGACTCCATTGCATTTAGCTGTTGCCAGAGGACATTTAGCTATAGTACAGCGTCTTGTTCATGAAGGTGCAAAATTAAATATTGTTGATAGCGATCAACGAACACCTTTAGTTAAAGCTGTTCTTTGTGGTAATCAGAATCCATCATTATATGATCAAATATGTATAACTTTATTACGAGGAGGAGCTGATGCTTGTAAGAATTCATTATAATTTTCATAAAATGATATTTTGTTTTTCTATAGTTATTAATGCCGTGGATAAGAATGGAAAAAATGCATTACATTATTCAATTGAATATGGTAATGAACAACTTGTTGAGCTTTTTCTATCAGTTCAATATTGTGATCCAAATTTTCGAGATAATGATCAAATGACACCATTACATTTAGCTGTTAAACGAAATAGTCCTAATATAGTTGATATACTTTTATCTGATAGATATGATCATCAAGCTGATCCGAATTTAACAAATAGAAATGGGCAGACACCATTACATATGGCAGCTAGTCTTGGCTATATAGATATCATTCAAGTTATATTTCAATCAAATCTTACTGAACCATGTGATCCAACTATTCTCGATGCACGACAATTAACTGCATATCAATTAGCGAAAGAAAATCATCATGATGAATGTTCTAAACTAATTGATGAATATCAACATGGTTGGACAAGACTTTCACCACGACGAGATATATCAGAAACAATAAATGAACATGAAATTAATCCTAGTATTAGGAATCCAGCTGGACGTTTTCATCCTGGTGATGATGATGATGATGAAAGTGAAAGGACAACATCAAGTGAAACAAATCAATTTTCAAGATCTTCATCAAGACCAATACAACAGCCATCAAATCAATGGCCAAATCGAACAACATCTTTAACAAATCAAAATAAACAAGAAGCTCATTCTTTAGCTGATCTCATTAGAAATAATCCATTACAAGCTGATTTACCTAAAACAAATGGATCAAAATCAAACAATCAAACAATATCAAGTCTTATTAATAGTATGCCAACAAAACCTGATGAATCAAGTATACATACATCAAAGCCAAATAATCAAACATTATCAAGTCTTATTCATAGCATTCCATTACAACAAGATGAAAAATCAACTAATAAACCTGTTATAAGTAAGCACTTTTTCTTTTTCTGTCTATCGTTTTATTTTATTTTTGGGAATTTCCAATTAATCAGCTCCACAAAAACAACCATCATCAATATTTGGTATTGGATCGGCATCATTTCAACATGAAGATACAGATAATACATCAACAAGTGTATCAATTGAAAAAACATCTATAAATAAAAGTCTTATTGGTGGACAAACATTATCACCAAAAAAAAATGTAACAATTAGTTCATTGGTTCATTCATTGCCACAACCTGAATCAAATTCAAATTCGTGGACATATGATAAGTCATCAATACATAAACAAGAATCAAATGTAACACAAGCAAAAAGAATTGACTCATCAGATGATACAACATTATCACATTCTGATGATGATGATGATAATATTAGAAGTAGCTATAGACCTAAAACACCATCAACAATTCTTCCTAAACTACCAACATTAAATAATACAGCAGTATTTGCCACAACACGTTCAAATGAAAAAATCGATAATACTGATAGTGATGAAGATTCAATTGAAGCTGCTGTTCGACAAATGAATACACAAAAATCATCACTTGGTATTCAAAATTTAGTTAATTCACAAATTGGAAATAATTTTAAAGCTTCTCAACAAACACCTATTTCAACTGTACAATCACCAATAAGTGAAGATTATTTATATACAACATCATCTATAGGTTCGAAAAAAGAATCAACAACAACAGGTATTAATGCTTTATTTCAACATAATCCATTACTTAGTAAAAAAACAAGTGGATCAACATGGGATGATTCTCGTCCATTAAGTGCTGATTTAGAACGTAATTCAATTAAATCAAAAAATCGCGTAACAAGTGATTCAAATGATAGTGACACAGATCAAGGAGAACAATTAGCAACGATTGTTAAAGCACCAGTAAAAGGTGGTGCTATAGCAAATTTAGTTCAAACAAGTATCCGACCAACAGAACTTACTGAAACAAAATCAACAGGTGTTGAAAATTTATTAAAAATTATGAATGATATTCAGAATTCACCACCGCCGAATCAAAATCAGTAAAACTTAAGACTATTTTTTTTTGTTCAAAATAAAATTGTTCTTTTTCTTTTTCTTTTCAAAGATCAATACCACATAAAACAATCGGAACACTTATCACTTCGTCAATGGTTCATCGTACTGGATCAATATCCTCAAATGCTAGTTCATTAGCTGATGATACAGCACGAACATTAGCAATGGCAATTCCTACTATTCCTAGTTCAAAACCACAATTATATCATGACGATGTTGATAAAGGTAAGATTACAAGAATGTTTTAGAAGTTTTGTTCTTCGACATATTGACTACTATCTATTTTAAAATATAATGTGCTTCAGTAGCTTTCGAATAACTTTTAATAGGAACATTATAGAGATTCTCAGTTTTTGCCGTTCAAGAGAGAAGACTCGAAAGTATCGGAATGTGATTGGGTTCAATCTGATGAGCTCTATATGAAGATTTTCGAAAACGATGTTCTGAAGATATTTTCCTTTCGATTTAGACTTTCAATATGACTGTTGAATAGAAAAAAATTCTTCTCTTTCGATCTCTGGAAAGCCAACATTCCTAACTTGTTCCATTCGAGAGTTATCATATGCTGAATCAAATGATGATATTTGTTTTTTAGGATTGAAACAATCTAAAACTGTTATCTCAATATTTCTGAGATGTCAACTTCTTCGTTACATGGAGGCTGATCGTGAGATTTCAAAAATATTGAGCTAACATTCTCAGATTAGTTCGAACCTAAAAAAACATCATCATTTGACACCGCATGATGAATAATTTGAAATCGAAGGTTTTACGATAAGTTTTATAACTCTCTAACGAAACAAACTAGGAATACCGGCCTTGTATAGATCAAAAGAGAAGAACTTTTCTATCGATTAGTCCGATCAATTGCTGATCAATCAAATTTCGATGGTCTCGTGTCTGCTCTCTTGAATGATGAAAACTGCAGATCTTTATCATGTTTCTATCTAAAGTTATTTAAAAACCAATGGAACACATTATATTTTAAAATGAATAATAATAATGATTCGTAATACGAGGATTAAGTATTGAAATCAATATGCCAAAAAATATATCTTCGGATGGCATACGAAAATATGATAATTAATATTTCAAAATTAAACAGGAACATTTTCGAGACTTATTGATAAAATCATCGATACACTTTCTATAAATAATATCATAGTAGAAAGTAAGATGTACTTATCTTGATCATATATTTGAGATTTATTATAAGCAGCTATTACTTGCTTGATCAGTCAAAGTATATATATATATCAAATAGATGATTTATGAGTTTACAAAATGAAAATTTTTTGTGTTGCACATCTAGCCTTCAAATGAGCTACTTGACTCAAACTTTATTTCTGTTTTTAAAGCAGGTTTTCCATGTAAGAAAACAGACGAATGATCTGCTTTTAATTGATGAATACAGTACTATCGGGTGAGGCAAAAATGTTGCAACATTTAGTATTTTGTAAATATTTCATATCACATAAATCATACAACCTTGATTTTTTTTTTTGAAAGATGTGCCATCCAATTCTCTACAACAATGTTAATAAAAAGATCTCATCGAATTGCTATGATGATTTTATTATAAGGCTAAAACTGAAACACTACGATGATGAAATTTTCAATTATTTTGTGAGAAAAAAAAATGAAAATATCATTAACAAAAAATTTTCTTTTTATTTCCAACAATATTCTTCATGATATTATGAAGGTGTGAATGATGAGAAGACTAACACTCTACACCCACACCCATTCTGAGCTGAGCCGGACTGAACTTTAATAGAGTCGAAGTTGGCTTGAACCATCAAAAAGTGGCCCAGTTCCTAAGCCCGTTAGGCATAATATGTTTATGTTGTTTTTATTCTTTTGAAACTATTCATCCAACAAATACTTTGACGAATCAGATGGCTGATAACTCTTAAATAAATGATTAAGATGAACTGTTTATCACTTTCTACTATTGTATCATTTAATGTAAAATCTTGCTCGTTAATCTACAAAATTTAATCTTTTCATTCTCACATATTAGCTAATAATAGATTATATAAATAATCGACTCAAATTTCTGATACTTCATCGCGGTACATTTAATTACGAAAAATACTTTATCTACACATAAACTCTATCGAAATTTAAATCTAGAATTCTGCGAGAAAATTACGAAAGTATGAGTATAAGTCCGATGCCGATATCGTTTTAACTTTTACACGCATACTGAACTTAGAGCTTGAGATTTTTTTCTAAAAAATATGCACTATGAATCAATAGAAAAAGAAACAAGTGTTTAACAATGAAAAGAAAAAGATTAGTTTATGTACTAAATCTCAATTGTGCAAAACAGGACCGTAATGAATGAAAATAGAAAAATGAGTAACATTGATTCTGTAGGACTTTACTCGAAATTTATAAAATATTTTTTTAATACTTATTTTTCTTTTGTAGTTCTTTGGCCCTCAGTAACAAATGATAGACATGATTTTAAACATATAACAGACAGATATTCAAATGACCTGATTCCATCATCTCAACGACAATTATCACATACATCAGCACATCATGAATTTAATAGTTTACGTGGTTCGATGTCTTCTTCAACATCATCAATTCAAAACAATATGGTAAAAAGAAAAGAAAAAAGAGAAAATATTTGAATTTTTCTGTCTGTTCTTTTTTCCAGGAACGTTTAAGTGAACTTAAAGAAGATATCAAACAAATCGAACGTAAACAAGAAGATAGTCTTGAATTAAAACGACAATTAAAAGATATGGAAATAAAGAAGAATAATTTTGAAGCATTATATAAAAAAAATGATCAATTATTACGTGAAACAGAAACAAAGTTAGAAAAAGAAATCAATGAAAAACAACGTTTAGAATGGACAACGAAAAATTTAAATATGGAATTAAAAAGTGTTAAACAAAAACTTCAATCATTAGAAGAAGAAAAAGATATATTAAATCAACGTTGTATCAAATTAAAGGAAGAACGTGATAATTATGGTAAAAATACATATTTTTTCTATAATTATTTATATCTCATGAAGGAATTCCCTCAACTAGAGCCCGCCGAGTTCAAAATTCTCGGACTCGATCAGTAAAAGTATTCAACACCCGGGCTAAATCGATGGACTCTATCATCAACTGATCAATAGATTTTTAGTCAAGGCTATGTACATTATATGTAGATGATACTGAACTATGAATACACTGAAAACAGTTCAGACTCTTCACTTTTTACTGGCGAGATATTGCATTTTTTAAGGTATTTTCTTATTGTCGAAAAACTTTTTGTTTTAAAAACTAACAAATGTCGCCTCATTCGATGCAGTTTTCTGCGCTGATTTCAAATACGTCTTAATTTGTTCCTATACTAAGATACAACTATGGAAAAAACCTTATCGTTTATATTGATTATATATTCTGGTAGAACCGATGTTCTTATTTAAAGATAGAAGAAAGCGAAAAGAACTAAAATTTCTGAAAATAACCTATTCTTGTTAAGACCTGTGTATGTACAATGTTTAAAGTCGAAATTCGAAAACGAATTTTTCGTCTATACTGTTAAAAGCAGGTGTTTATTCTTCCGGAATAGAAAACCTGTATAAAACATTCAATATTCCGATGGTCGACCACGACTGTAACTTAAAAAATACAATATCTCTGCAACAATAAACTAACGACCTTGATAGTTTTCAGTGTATTGATATCTCATTAGGGTCCATAGAATCCAAAGCAATTACTCAGTTAAAGGGCTTCGCTCGTTAGAATCGAAAGTTTGATTGTTGACAAATTTATTTATTTTTTCGATGTTTACTCTTTATTATAGTATACATCAATTTTATCAGGAATAAAAGAGATTTTATATATGAAGTTTTTTTTTTAATGAAATTTTATACAAAATAAAACAAATTACTTACCGATAAACTTTGTTGATTAAATCGATTCTATGGATTTTCTTCAAAATTGTTGCAAGAATCCATTGAGAGAAGAGCATTTGACACTCTACATGCTTGATTTTAATCATTGATTTCTTTTAGCAATAGATATGCATAATAATAACAACAATGAACATAATAAAGGTAAACTTGAATGAAGAGCACTACATAGTGTATTTTAAACTGTGATACAGTCCACTGTTTTATATATCGTGAACTTCTTGAGAATAGTCAAGTGCAGTGTATGTATAGCTGCCACTTTTAGTTATTCCATCTATCATATATGTATACACAGTAAGATTCACCGTTAAAACAGTTGGTCATGTATTTATTTTTGTGTTCTGTTGCTTCTATCGGTCAAAATTTATATACATAGTTCATCATATAAATAAAATTTCTATCGAAATTCGAATACATGTTCATCATATCAGACATGATTGTCAACATACTTTAAAGCACAGTTCTTCATTTACAATATGTTCAATCATTGCTTAGATCATAAAAATACACCTGGTTAGTAGTTTGTTAATTGAAGTAACACAATACAATTCATTGTTCTCTAGAACAAAGGTTGAACTTTATTCTTGCTATTTCTTAAGATGAAAAACTACGTATACATCAAACAAATACTTTACAAACAGCAGCAGCCGGTGTACTACGTGAAGAAGATATTGAAAAAATAAAATTACGACATCGAGAAGAAATGAAATTATTATCAGCTGAAAATGATGATCTTCATCAACGTACAAAACAATTACAATCAGATTTACAATTACATAAAGAATCACTTGATGTAACAATACGTTATAAAATTGATTTAGAAAAAGCTTTAGAAGAAAAAACATTTTTACAACATGAATTAGATCGTTTAAAACATGAAAGAGATTTTATTGAACAAGAAAAAATTGATTTTAAAACAAAATATGATAATTTACAAGAAGAAATACGTCTTATATTATTAGATCGTTCAAAACTTGAACAAAAATTAACAAATGAATTACAAGAACAAATGAAACAACGACAACGTTCAACAGATGATACTAAAAAATATAAAACACAAATAGAACAATTAAATATTAAATTAGGTGATGCTGAAGCACGTTTACTTGTTTTACAAACACAAAATGAAGCATTATTAGCATCAAAAGATCGTGAAATTAAAAATGAATTTGAAACACTTACACAACGTCTTAATATAATTGAATCAGAAAAATTAAACGCTGAACAACGTTTTCATAATGAACAGAGAGATATAACAAATAAACAACAACAGCATGTTTTACATGAACCACTTGTCATTCTTACGTCAACACCATTAAGCAATGCTGCTCAGCAACAACAACATCAGCATTCACCGTAAGTAAAAATTCTATGTCATCATGGGATTCTTTTTGCTTGCAAAAGAGATAAAGAAATATGGATTTGTTCGAATATAATGTTCAAACTTCAACTTTCTAAAAATCTTTACATAAATATTAAAACGATAACTCTACAATGTGAAGGCTGCTTCAAAATCTAATTTAAATTTTAAATCTTATACTGTTACATAATATAAGATTATCTAAAGGAAACAAAGCGTTGGATGTACAGAAAATCCTTTCTTATTTGATTAACTACCAGAAATATTAACACTTTAATCAATAGACTCAATAGAAAATGAAAGCAGATTGGTTCTAAAGACTCTTAATAAAAACTCATTGCAGTTTTAAGTGAAAAAAAATTCTGTATCGTTTTAATGATGAAACACAATACCTTTTAATATTCAAATCTTTATGATTTTTCGGAAAAATCCGAACACACTTAAATAAAATACAAAATTCAAGATCTTCAATTTCAATGTGAATTTATCAAGACGGGAAAAGCGAAAATTTCGTGCTTCACGTGTAGTCTTCTATCAACGTATGTCCTGAGCATATTAGTTTGATGTCATTTTATATAAGACTGTCTAGCATTAAAGAACAGCTGTTTATTATTCAAATTTATTGTTTATTGAGTAACAAACAATTCTTTTCGTATGAGCTGACGAGAAAACTTATCCAGGTGTCAAATATCGCTTTTCGACCGAGACAACTTTTATTTGATGAGTTCTCGAGAGTAACAAAAAAACCTTTGAATGATTTGGTTTTTTGAGCCTTCATTCTTGAGATGTCGAAAATTCACTGGTTTTTTTCAACAAATAGCTGTGGTCTTCCTCAGGTTATATCGAAGATCAACTTCAAACTGTGCATGAACAAAGTTCTTAATGAGATTAGTTCATTGAATAAGTTCTAACTTTTCTAGTATCTCTTCTTCTGAGATATTAAATATTCTAGTCTCTCATATGTAAAATTAAATATTGTTCATAATATCTCTAGAGAGAAAATACTAATTGCACAATCATCTGATCTCATGAAGAGTTTTGTTAATGCAAAGTTTGAATTAGATCTTCGATGTAATCTAAGCAAGACCAAAGCTTTTTTGTTCAAAAGTCCCAGTAAAATTTCTATAGTTTGAGAACGAAGGTCGGAAAAACCAAACCATTCTAAATTTGTCTATTACTCATCAAATGAATATCGTCTCCGTCGAAAAACGATTTAACAAATGAAGAGATTCCCTCGTGAGTTATCGAACACCTGATTGTCTCTTAACTATAAGTTTCGAACAGCTCTACTCCAACACATTTATACGGCTTAGCTATATGACTCTAGAATGACAAAGAGATACTTTTAGAGGCACTAGTTATTTCAAAATAAAGTGGTGATCGTAGCCAATTCCGTTCCTCGATTGAGAAGAATGTTACGTGTCTAATGGGAAGGTGAAATTAAATGGACACTATGAAAAACTATATTCAACACTCGAGTCATTTAATTATCTATTCAACATTCATGATTACTAAACATTCCGAAAAACTTAATCATAACTTTAATTAAACTATTAATTTTTTTCCTTTTGTAACTTACATGTCTAACTTATTAATTTCTATCATCAATTTCGTTGAATTAACTGGAAAGAATATCTTTTCTTTGCAATCAAGCAAATCAAATATTATTATCCTCTGAGCTTAAAACGATAACCAATTTATTATTGATGTTGTCAGATGATGTTCATAATTTCGATTGAAATACGATCAATAGACATAAATGTATTAAGATTACAACCAGTATTTTGTTCTCGTAATTTTGAACTATCTTTAAATTCTTTCTCATAAAAAATAACAGAATTCACCTTATGCTTTTTCTTTTAGTTCTTCACCATGTATGAAATGTGATACACTTCAACGAAGTTATGAACACGAACGTGAACAACGTATGCAAACTGAAAAAGATAATGAACGTTTACGTGATGTTGTATCACGTCAAAAACAACAGAATGACTTAAATAAATCTATTCAACACCAACAAGAATATGAAAATATTGTTGCTGAAAATTCAAAACAAATTCGTTCTGAAACTGAACGTGTTAAATATGAACTTGATCGTCTTCGACATGATTTTGATAAATTAGTTTCAAATTATGATCCACCAAATAATTTACAGCAACAAGCACAACTACATTCACAAATAGATACATTACGTCATTTTTATGAACAAGAATTTCGACAACAATTACTCTTATCAAAATTAACAAATGGAATAAAACCAACAACAGCAATTCATACTTATCATCAAACATCATCACCAATAAAACATGATGAATATGATCATTCATTAAATGGAAATTCAAATTGTTCAGTATGTTCAAATAGTCGTTTACTTAAAGAACGTCTTGAAAATGCTATTGATACAAGTTTAGCTGATCAACGTATACAAACAATTAAACAACTCCCTATTTTACCACGATTAACATCTCCTTTATTACCAACAAATACTAATGCTATCTCATCTATTGAACTTTTACGCAAACGTTATTATGTTTAAAAAAATTATCAATTATAGAACAGTGAAGTTTTTGCGTTTGTATATACCTAGGTGGTAGCCCTTGTTTTTTTGAATACTTTGAAATGTTTTGTTTATTCTCAAGATTTTTTTTTTTGCTCATCAAATATATACAAGAATATTCTTTTAGATATTATCCATAAATGCTAATAGCAATGTTACAGCTTTGCTAATGAATGTACTCAAATGATTAAAAAATAAATAAATAAATAAATGCTTTCATAACACCAAGTCAAGATATAAATATAACAAACATCGTGATTAAAAAGCTTGAGCTTGGTACTTTTCTAGAATATGATACTCTGCCTAAAGAGATATACTATTCATTCCGAACTATGAGTGGGTCAGGAACAGAGCCTGTACACAGTATGAATTTTCATACCGGTTGGCCGCCGTTAGACCAGTCATTTTTAGTGTCTCGTGGAACTTTTGTTTGCTCTTATTACCTCATAAAGGATGTGTAATTAAGCTTTATCGAAAGTTGCCTACATCAAATATCATTATGCACAGATAGAATAGTACGACAACTCGTCAGTCTAGCGTCGGCATTGATTCCGGACCGACCGATTTAACATCTGGAGTGTGTTACTAATTTGAAAATAGTGCTCAACATAATCATTACGACTACGCACGAACGTGACTGAAGAAAAATTCTTGTCATCATTAAATCTATTTCCTGATAATTCAAAGTAGTTCGAAGAAGTCACTTGAGACTGAAAGACTATGAAAATTTTTGGTTGAATCATATGCAATGTATTTAAGTCATGTTGAAAGAAAACTATTGTCCAGACGAAGAAGAAGAAGAAGTCTTATCTGATTGTGTTCTTATTTTTGCTTTTTCGATTTTTGTTTAATATTGAAATGAACACTGGAAATTTTATAATAAATCAAAAGTAATCTCAAGAAAACAAGTTCTGGCAGCTGTTGACGGAATTAAAATAAATCAATAATTGAATTTCATAGAAAATAGAGAGAAAAACACGTAAGATGACTACTATTTTAATACTATTCATATTAACTACAAGAGATTTGACATTAAGATCATATTATCTTTCGGTTGACCCGACTCAATCAGTTGCGATCCGAAAATTGCTCATACTCTACTAATTCAACTTTCACTCTATCATAATTGATTTGTTCTGCTCGGTACTGATTTTAAGTATATATCTTTCACAAATAAAGACTTCTACAGAATAAAACTCAACAAACATTTCGGTAATTTGAATCGTCAAAGCAAGGTATATTTGTTAATTTTCCAACTTCATGAAAACTATAACTCATTAACAGAAAGCTTTCACAAGTAAGTAATTGTTTTAGTCAATTTCAACAAGTCAGATAAATTACTATGTGCAGATTAGACTGATAATTTTAGTCTATTCATTGGTAGATTACATAGGCTAGACCATAAGTGTGAGTTTTCTTCAATCTCTCTCGTCTTTTACAATTCATTAGAGAAGTTTGCGCTTGATAATAGATCAATTCGATCGATAAAATATAAGCAGTGCAATAGTCCATTAACAATGTGACGTGAAGATCATTAATTTCATAATCGATAATACAGAAGTGCCTAGATAGAGTATCAGAACGCTGGAATGTCACTCAAGAATTTAATGATGATGCAATCTCGCCAGTCTAGATATTATTTTTATCTATTGTTTTGGCTCTGCTCTATGTCAATAATAGTGATACTGCTTGGTGCAATTGATACTTCATTAGATCATGCGTGTGGACAGAGAGTATCAATGTACTGACGAAATGTTCGGTTATTATCTAATGGAAACCATGAAACTTACAAAAAATTCACGTGGTAAAATCACTCTTTTCTTGTCCATTGCAAAGTGCATCAATCTTCTTTTGAGAAAATAAGTAAAGTTCGGTACAGGTGAACCTTTTCGAATTCTGCAAGACATATTGTGAAAGAAAAGAAAACAATAAACCTACTATATTCAAGAATTGTGTCTCTCACTCTCATATATATTAGCTAAATCTTATTATTAAACGTGTGAAATTTTATTTAAGTCCTTTTTCCCTTCAGAAATCTATTTTTTCGGAAAAGAAAGTCGAATTCGAACAGATCTTCGATCCTTATTTGCGTCATCATAGAATCAACAATTTAAGCATAACAGATGGTGTCAGCTGACGCCGTCTATCACGTGCTTTTAAAGATTTCACTTAAATATATTATGAATATGGTATTCTCATATGTTTTTATCAGAACACGATTTTCTATCTGACAAATTGAAACTCTTACGGCTCGGTTTAAGGTATAATCAATATTTGTCGAAATATCTAAATAGGATTAACTTTCGTTCGCCGAGCTTTTTTTACATTTGATTTCTATATTGAGAAAAGCGAGATTTTGTATTGTGGAATCATCTTATGCTTTTTTTCTAACATCATCTCTATTAAAATGCACATAAAATAAATGAAAGCGAATTTTAACATTCTCTTGGGACAACAACCGCGCACAGGTATTCAATTTCATTTAAAACCACACTGAGCTCCGTAGCACTTGTAATGACGAGATTACAGAGACTCTTCTGAAGGCTATAAATAAATCGTGAAAGTTCGGTGTAGTTTGACGTATCGTGCTGAAATTTGTTATCAGAAGCGTCTATCACTAAGACCATAATTTCAGTCTAAATACACTATGCTAATTGGTAAATCTATTTATTGATAAGAGCAGCTATTCAAAATCACATGAAAAGAAATATGATTTCATTTATGGTAATAAAAATAAAAGCGTTGAAATCTGATTATTTGCTTTCTACACTTGTCTATCAAAGAAAAAGCTTCTTATTTGAACCATAATAGATAAATAATTTATCATGCTATGGAATAAAAAAGCTCAGAAAAAAAAACATGTGCCAAATTAGCCGTATTAAGCCGATTCTAGATCATGCAATATTTCAGAATTTCCACTTTGGATATCCTTCTGTTTAATTATGACATAAAAGAAATACAAAATCAATTCAATGCAATTCAATTCAATACAACAGTCTCAATAATAAAGTTTTCTTTTTTCTATGAATATCTTCATAATTAAATAACTGAACTAGAATGCTAGTATTTTCTTCTAGTCATAAGGAATAATAACGGTAAACAGCCTCCTCGTTTAAGAAAACCACAACGTACAATTAGTAGAGAAAAGTTCTGCGCTAAAGAGATGAAAGAAAAAATATTGTCTAAACAGTTCATGACTGTCGATGATCAAAATTGTAAATTATTTATTGATTTCGTCGACCGTTGGTGAATATCGTTCCGAACGTTTTCCACGATTATGTGCTAATTCTAATTTTTCATGTAGTCGAGATTCACCACGATGCATGTCATAAACAGTATCTGTATATCGTTTGCCTTCTTTAGCAGCATTTTTGCCCCGTGTTGCTGCTATAAAAGCAAGAAGACCCGTACCAAATACTGACGCAACAACACAACGTGCTCGAAATCGATCTTTTGTTCTTTGATATACACGATTACTAAACAGAGTTTATTAATTAGTTATTATAAGTGTATATTTATTGGTACATACGGTATACTATCAGGAACATCACGATAACGTCCGTAAAGTCCACCTAAAACCATAACTACTTTTGCCAGAGAACCAAGATGTACAGCTAGAAGAAGAAAAAAAAAGTATAATAAACTAAAGAAATCAAAATATAATGTTTACTAACGAACACTATCATATGATTTTCTTTCAGTTGCATTTTCTTTTGAAGGTTCATTTATTGAGGCTCCTGTACTGGTTGATTCAGCAAGATAACGAGTACTAGTACTAAGAGGAACGAGAGTTTGTCGAATAACATTTGGATGATATACACGATAAAGAAGAGAAGCTTGACGTAGCATTGATTTACTAACAACAGACATGAGCGAAAACAAAAATAAAATGATTTTTTTTTCTTAAATTCGAACTCAATTAGGTCACAATCTTTCGGTACAATTCTGGTTCATGCATGTTGCTTACGCCGTTATCGACAGAACAGAAAAAACGCAAGTTATTGGCTAATCTTTTTGAAGCAATGATCAAACTAAAACGAAAGGTGGCGCGTATTACTGTGTTGATCATAAATGACAGATAAAAGGAAATGAAATGAGGGATGTCAAAAACGATTTGTTACTGAGTTAAACGAATGAAATATTGCATAGTTCTTCCTTTTCCTTTTTCTTTAGATTTGATTGTAGATTAATTTTATCATGGAGATCGTTTATACAGTTGACGTAAAGATGATAAATGATGGTGAAGATTTAAAACAAATATTAAAAATGGATATATCATGTTTAAATATTCTTTGTTTTTCAAGTAATTATTTATCTGCATCAAATCAACAAAAAAATTGTCCAGAAATTATTTCATCGTAAATAATTTTATTTTTCTTATTATAACGTTTTTTTTTTTTGTTTTTTTTATACTATTTATAGATCTTTACATCAAATAGCAAAATCATCATTTTGTGTTTATATTTGTTCACTTGAACAACCATGGGATTTCAGTTTAATTACGACATCATATTTGCCAATTGTCCAACTTGTTTGGAGTCTTGATGGTACACATTTACTTGTATGTAATCAAGCAGGAGTTTGTCAAATATTTAAAATGAAGGTATAACAATATACAGGATGATATACGAATAGTACTGCGATAAAACAAAATGAAATATCTTTGCACCAGTTCAATCAAATTGGCTGAATATTCGAGTTAGTGATAGAAGTTGATTTAAAGTTTTTTTTTCATACGGATAACAAAAGTAAATACTACTATTAACTATTATTGTTGGTATCGTGAAAGCAATGTCATCTATTGGTATTATGACATGTCTAGCTGGGCAAGTTTGAGATTCAGTTGTCAGTAATCTATGTATTAGAATTAAAAATGGTGCTAACAGCTTGACAATATTTATTTCTAATGGTAATTATACCAAAGTATTAAGATTAATTTTAGTGCTAATGCTAATGCTAATTCCAATACAACAACCCTA